TTTGGGAAAAACCCTGGAACGTATGATCAACCGAAGGCTAACATATGTCCTTGAAAGAAAAAACTTGCTTGCAAAGTATCAATGTGGTGGCCGTTCCTCTAGGTCTACTCTTGACCATCTTGTTAGGCTTAAAACGACTGTACGTGAGGCCTTTGTAAATAGACAGTTTTGTTTGCCAGTGTTTTTTGATTTAGAAAAAGCATATGACACAACTTGGAGATATGGCATTATAAATGATCTATATAACTTTGGCATTCGTGGTCGAATGCTGGGTGCTATTCAGGACTATTTCGAAAGACGCACATTTCATGTCAAGTTGGGAACTACTCTTTCTAGAGAATTCGTGCAAGAAAATGGCGTACCCCAAGGTGGTGTCCTCAGTGCTACTTTTTTTCTAATAAAAATAAATTCTATTTCGCAAGTAATTCCCCCTTCAGTCCAATATTCCTTGTATGTCGACGACCTTCAAATTTCTGTGTCATCTTGCAATTTTTCTATTTGTGAACGCAGAGTTCAGTTAACAATTAACAATATGGTAAAGTGGGCAAATAATAACGGGTTTACGTTTTCTACCGAGAAAACATCTTGTGTCCTCTTTTCTCGAAAACGTGGACCTGCCCCTGAGCCCGCCTTGACCATGTATGACGTTTCCATCCAGAACAAAGCAATGCAGAAATTTCTTGGCCTTACCTTTGATAGCAAATTGTCCTTCAGCTTCCATATAATTGATCTAAAGAGAAAATGCCATAAAGTACTGAACGTCCTGAAGGTTCTTTCTCACAAGTCATGGGGTTCTGATCGCGTATGTCTATTGAGAATCTACCGCTCACTTGTACGATCCCGACTTGATTATGGAAGTATAGTGTATGGATCGGCAAGAGCATCAACATTAAAGATGTTAGATCCTGTTCACCATAAAGGACTACGTCTCGCCACTGGTGCTTTTCGCACATCCCCGGTGTTGAGCCTTTATGCTGAAGCCAATGAGCTATCTCTTGAGAAAAGGCGATTTTCTTTAGGCTTCATGTACGCACTTAGAATCCGTTCGGTACCGCAACATCCATGTCGGGGAGTTTTAGAACAATCACGTTTCGAAAGAACTTTCCTAAATAAACCCTCAATCATTCCTCCTTTTTCAATGAGAAATAAATCAGAAGCCGTCTCAGCAGGTCTTGACATAAACCTACCTGTTGCTTCGGTTTTAAGAACAATAGCTCCATGGCAATGTTTGCCTGTTGTAGACCTGTCTTTGACCCAATACAATTAGAAAGACACCCCCCATGAAGTGTTAAGGCAAGAATTCTTTACTGCAAGAGAAGTATAACAACTACATCAGCTTTTACACTGATGGCACAAAAAGTGACTCTTCGGTCGGTTGCTCCGCAATCGGGCCTTCATATGAATGTGTGCGGAGAATTAATAGCAACGCGACAATTTTAACGGCAGAGCTTTATGGTTTACTTCTCACCACAAATCACATCACAAAAAAATAGACTTCCATGCTCCATAGTTTACACTGACTCCCTCAGTGCCCTAAGAGCACTCGCATCACTTGAAGCAACGAAAAATCCCCTTGTTACTGATTTACAGTTCAAAGTCTGTACTGCATTGGAAAACAATATTCAAATAGTCTTCTGCTGGGTTTCAAGCCACGTAGGTATTCCCGGAAATGAAGAGGCTGACCGTGCTGCAAACAAATGTAGCGAAAGAAATGTGGATATTGAAAACCTACCGTACAGAGACTACCGTGCAGCCCTAAAGAAGCACATCAGATATAAATGGCAACTAGAATGGAACAGTGAAGTCAACAACAAACTCTATTCTGTAAAGCCTATTTTACAGGAATGGGCGAGTGCCCGGCACCGGGAACGCTTCTTCGAGGTAATCCTGTGCCGGTTAAGAATTGGCCACACGCATCTCACGCATGGGTATTTGCTTCGTCAAGAGGATCCACCCATGTGTGAGCACTGTACAGAACCCCTAAGCGTGGTGCACATTCTCCTTGAATGTCCTGCATATGACAGTAATCGCCGATTTCACTTCTCCCATTTTTATAGAGCCCACCTCCCTTTACACATTGCTTTGTTGCTTGGAGACAAACCTTTCATTAACCATACTCACGTTTTTAATTTCCTAAAAGACCTCGGCCTTTTACACCGACTGTAGTTTAAGCCTTAATTTTTATATTATCACTTACATAATTATACTCACCGTGTCATGCTCATCGTTTTATTTGTTCATTAGCTACTAAAGCTCTTTTCCTCCTTTTAAACCTTTTCCTGCAATAGTACAATGTTTGGCTCTCTATGGCCTAAGGTGCCTTTGTGCCAATAAACCCCAATCAATCAATCAATCAACACCCACAGTCTGCACAGTGAGTTGGCAAGTGTGCATTGCCTTTATTCCTGATTGACAATTCATGTTACCGTGCGCATACATTAACACGACGTCCAGTTTGACCAAAATATACTTTCCCACACGAGAGCGGAATCTCGTATACCACCGCTGCGGAACAATCCTCATACGGTCGGGCGTGATTTTTGTTGAAGCCACTCGTCTTCTCCCTTCTCGGGGCAATCGTTGGACAAAGGCCCGCAAGCTTTTGTGGCGCCGAGAACACGAAAGGTACAGTGCTAATCACTCTTGTCTATAACGCGCGAGCGTGCGGCTTTCTCGGGGGAGGACTAGACTGGTGGCATTCGTGGAAACTAAGCTAATCACGTGGCGCAACATAAACCCTATCAGCTGGCGGCGAACGGGGAAGGCTGCTCGCAGCACGCTTCACGCTCGCTTCTAATCGCTTATCTGACCGTTTATTGCTTGCGCGCTGTTGTGAGCATATCAACGGGTTTCTTTTTTCTGCATGCGGTCTTTTCTTTTTCCAATTCCGTTAGACGTGTTTCGGTGTTGTTGTTGTTGATTACGGGCTTTATGGCGCAAAGCTACTATGGCCATACTGCGCCAAGCTTGTTTAGTTAAAACATACTCAGGACTTATTGATACAAATTATCTAAAAAAGGTTTATATGAAAAAGTTAAAAGTCATAGAATTAAAATTACAACTCCAGTAGAAAGCCGGTTTTTCTTAAGTAATCTATGATACGATCAAAAAGTACTATAGGAACCTCCTCAATTAGCAGCGCTGGGTGAAAAAGAATCTGGTGCAAAAAAAAAAAAGAAAAAAAAAAAACTCGGGGAAATGTGTACGTCGTTCTTGCTCAAGCCCTGAGCACAGCCACAAAATGTGTAAAATTGCTAAACGCTCCCCACAGTCGTCACACACGGGTGGGGCTTCCCCGCTGAGCAGATGTTTGTGGGTGAGGAAGGAGTGTCCAATAGACGACACAAAAGAACTTCATGGCGGCGGGTTTTGTGGGATGCACTCTCCCACATACCAAGAGCTGGTTTAATCCTGTGAAGTTTGTTTTCGCATTCCAGACTCCACTCCGATTGCCATAGCTGGAAACCTAATGATTTTACCAAGGGCATAAGTCGGCCTTTTAAGCTGTCCTCACTCAAACTCACGAACACCATTTTTTCTGCAATCAGAACACACGCCCACCCACGATCACGATTTATTCAAAATAGGGTCACCAACCGGACTTACCCGCCCGGTTCAATACAAACCCAAAACTCACTCGCCGTCATCATCACGGTCGCCACGCTCACAGATCATCAAGGTCATCACGAATCGTCAGACTCACAGGTCCTCACACTCACAGGTCATCACGGTCCTCACGACACTCACACTCACAGGTCCTCACACTCACAGGTCATCACGGTCCTCACGGCACTCACACTCACAGCTCCTCACGGTCCTCACACTCACAGGTCATCATGCTCATCACACTCACAGGCCCTTACGGTCCTCACACTCACATGTCCTCACACCCACAGGTCATCACGGTCCTCACGACACTCACACTCACAGGTCCTCACACTCACAGGTCATAACGGTCCTCACGGCACTCACACTCACAGCTCGTCACGGTCCTCACACTCACAGGTCAACATGCTCATCACACTCACAGGCCCTTACGGTCCTCACACTCACATGTCCTCACGGTCCTCACACTCACAGGTCATCACGGTCCTCACGACACTCACACTCACAGGTCCTCACGGTCCTCACACTCACAGGTCACCACGGTCCTCACGGCACTCACACTCACAGGTCCTCACGCTCATCACACTTACAGGTCATCACGCTTACAGGTTGCTTTCTTCGTGTTTTTTTTTCTTTTTGGTTTCTCGCAAGTCGTTTGTTTGTCTTCGCGTGAGTCGTGCGGTGGGGAAACTACCCCAGAACAGTAAACTTCTGAACAAATTGTCCAACTGGAAAGAAATGTACTTGTACTATGTGTACGTTTATGCTCCGCACATTTCTACCGAACTTCGTTAACCTGGATTAATTACGAAAGAAACTAAATACGAGCTGACGAAAGGGGGCGTGTTTGACTTTCGCCTGCTGACAAGGGCGGCGGTAAAACACAAACGCGCCTTCTGACAGCCCAAGCAACCACTGGACATCCATCGGACATCCGATGGATATCCTTTTCGGATATATCGTACATCCGAGGGCCATCCGCGAAAATCCGAAGGACGTCCCGTGGACGTCCGACGGACGTACAAAGGTAAGAGTTTTGTACGTCCGGAGGACATCCGAACAGGGATCCTCAGCGGACATACTTTGAATATCGCGCCTCAAAATCCCTAGGGATTAGGGCATTACGTCTAAAGGCCCGTTCACACTCTTGCGACCGAGTAAAACCGAGAGAGACCACTCCGGTTTTTAAGCCTCTTGCGATCTCTTAGGACCAGCTCCGCTGCAGCGCATCCGGTCCTAAGAAGTCGCAAAAGGCTTAAAAACCGGTCTGGTCACTCGGTCGCAAGAGTGTGAACGGCGCTTTATGCTTTACCCTTTACTTGGACAGCTATGAATGTTCAAAATGTCGTACCCTAGCCCGCATGCTGTGCCAATGAAAGACCATGAGCCAAATCTATATTGAAATAAGATGATAATTTTAATAGTATGCATTTTCTCCAGATCTTCTGGTGGCTCCACTCCTCGACAGTCGCCCTTTTTGTCAACTGTGCAATACCTTTCTGCCCTGGAAAGCTCTTCTGCCATATATTTAGCAGCTGTCTTGCTGTTGTCTGACCCATGTCCTAGTCAGACCTTGGAGGGAGTGTCCGTCTGTAAACAAATGAAAGAAATATGCTTTAATTATATTAATTGGACTATATGAATGGCACTTGTGCCTAGAGACTTTTTCAGTATTTTTAGCCTATGTTATCTACCAGATTGGCTGTGTCGTGGAAAAGCAATCTCATGCCTAGCGAGAAAAGCTTAAGATACCAGTGCCGGTAACTATCGCAAATTAACCGGACGAGTGACGAAGTGCTAGTCCTCGGTGGAGGGAGGCCGCTACGGCTCCCCCTCTCCCCCGCCAAGCAAACAAATTGACGAAGGTATGAGTGCATATTCACAACACACTGAAACCTACCTGTAGATGACGGGGAAAAGCTATTCCCTGTCATCTAAAGGGAAGTTTAAGTGTGTTATGAACATATGGTGCAAAATCCAGGCATGGGGAGGTCCCTCTGCACCATGCAGCCGTAAGAAAACAAGTTGACAAAGGCATAAGTGAGGGCAATTATCACATACACTGTCAACGTACCTGTAGCTCACAGCGGCAGACTGGATGTGCTTGACCCAGGTGTGGGGAAACCCCTCTCCACCGTGCAGCCCTAAGAAAACAAGTTGACAAAGGCATAAGTGAGGGCAATTATCACATACACCGTCAACGTACCTGTAGCTCACAGCGGCAGACTGGATGTGCTTGACCCAGGCGTGGGGAAGCCCCTCTCTACCGTGCAGCCCTAAGAAAACAAGTTGACAAAGGCATAAGTGAGGGCAATTATCACATACACCGTCAAGGTACCTGTAGCTCACAGCGGCAGACTGGATGTGCTTGACCCAGGTGTGGGGAAACCCCTCTCCACCGTGCAGCCCTAAGAAAACAAGTTGACAAAGGCATAAGTGAGGGCAATTATCACATACACTGTCAACGTACCTGTAGCTCACAGCGGCAGACTGGATGTGCTTGACCCAGGTGTGGGGAAACCCCTCTCTACCGTGCAGCCCTAAGAAAACAAGTTGACAAAGGCATAAGTGAGGGCAATTATCACATACACCGTCAAGGTACCTGTAGCTCACAGCGGCAGACTGGATGTGCTTGACCCAGGCGTGGGGAAGCCCCTCTCCACCGTGCAGACCTAAGAAAACAAGTTGACAAAGGCATAAGTGAGGGCAATTTTCACGTACACCGTCAACGTACCTGTAGCTCACAGCGGCAGACTGGATGTGCTTGACCCAGGTGTGGGGAAACCCCTCTCCACCGCGCAGCCCTAAGAAAACAAGTTGAGAAAGGCATAAGTGAGGGCAATTTTCACGTACACCGTCAACGTACCTGTAGCTCACAGCGGCAGACTTGATGTGCTTGACCCAGGCGTGGGGAAGCCCCTCTCCACCGTGCAGACTTAAGAAAACAAGTTGACAAAGGCATAAGTGAGGGCAATTTTCACGTACACCTTCAACGTACCTGTAGCTCACAGCGGCAGACTGGATGTGCTTGACCCAGGCGTGGGGAAACCCCTGTGTTGACAAAGGCATAAGTGAGGGCAATTGTCACGTACACTGTCAACGTACCTGTAGCTCACAGCGGCAGACTGGATGTGCTTGACCCAGGTGTGGGGAAGCCCCTCTCCACCGTGCAGACCTAAGAAAACAAGTTGACAAAGGCATGAGTGCGTGCAATTTTCACGTACACCGTCAACGTACCTGTAGCTCACAGTCGCAGACTGGATGTGCTTCCAGCCAGACAGGAACGGGTGATGACGGAAAAAACAAAGCGTGGTACGGATGATATGCGCGAAATAACGAAGCGGTTCAGAATGAGACTAAACTAACTTTCCCAAAAATAGAAACAAGTAGGCCGTTCAACTATAGGTGAACGAAAGTTGTGAAACGCTAGCCAACATCTGTACTAGTCCTTTAGGACGCTACTTACGAAAACACGAACGGAATGAATTTCGAGTAACACAAAAAGAGAGGGGGATGGAAAAAAAGGACGTGGTATGGAAAGCAAGTACTAACCCGAAATGGAGAACTCAAGCAGATAGTTCAACTAGACGAAAAGTTCTTCTGGAACATTGTCCAACGTGAGTACTGCCACACACGCACCATACTACTTAAAACAGAAATAAAAATATTTTAGTAACACCGTTGTATAACCGTTGACACGCGACAGCAACAACGTGGACACGGAAGAAACAAAGAAAAAGAACAAAACTCGAAAATCGGGTTGCCAGCCGAGACAGGTGAGGTCGCGAAGCTGGCTATACCGATCAGTGGTTAGTCGGTATATGATTCAATAAGAATATACTTCTCGCTACTTTTCTTGTTTGTTGTTAAAAATTAGGCATAATTATTTTACTGCTTGTTGCCGAGCGTGTTGGTGTAAACTGCAATTCATGAAATCAACGTAGGACAACACCAAGGATGACACCGACGGTACGACTGTGCTGTTATAATTTGTCTGTGGAGATTTGTTTAAATTGATAAGTCACCAAACTAATGTATGAATAAAACAAACGCTACCAATTTATTTATTTATTGATGTTTAACCCCGACGTCATGTAGTTTTCAACTTTTCTAGGTGCCGCTAGTGTCACATATCCGTTAAAATCCATAGCCAACGAAATCCATCGATATTTGTGCATTGTCGGCTCTAGGAGCGCGTGGTTTGGACTCTGGTGTTACCACGACCGGGTTTTACGTTTTACTGTCGGTGAAAGCGACGGTACCGTGAAACCGCCGCCATTTCAGCAGCTCAAGGTAAATGTTTAGCTTTTGCATAACTTTTTAAATCCGGTTAGTGTTGATGACTTTCTCACATCAGTTTTTCTGTTCATTTTCAGGGATGTATGCAATTGTGGAATTTAGGCTAACCCAAGAGGTGGAGATCGTGCCTTACACGTGGGTCACGGGAAACAACTGTTTATGGCCGAAGGTGTGCACCGATAAGGCTGTCAAGCTAGTGCGAAAGGGGGGGCCACCAGGACCAGGGTTTTCTGAGTTCGAGGTGACTGTGAAAAAACTATTCAGTGAGTATATTGCATCTCTTCATGCGTGCAGCAGTGTTCATTAATTGTAAGTATTTTTTTCTTATGTAACTACAGATTCCTACGAAGAAGGGCGATCTAAGTTGGAGCGGTCGCGGTTCACATCTGATCTCTCGGACGAGGAGATACGCCCAAAGCGTAGGAGATTTCGCCCCACACGCTGGAGCGAGTCCGACTCAAGCTCGGATGAATTCCCGGAAGCCCCGATGCCGCTCTGCGCACGGCAGAACTCGCGTAACGCTATTTGATTTTTATTTTGTTCTGCAGCTGACAGCCTTGTTGACCGTTGCAACTGTTTCTTAACCTTTAGCTTAGAATTCGAACCTGGCACTTGATAAGTCTAGGGTGTGTCGTCAGACGTACTTGATCTGTCGTTTTACGTAAACAATGTGCTTATATAGGGGGTTGGGGCACAACTGCATTTTTTATATTTTGGGAGATCAATTTGTACTTTTTTCATCTTACAATTTGAGGTTTTCTGGTCGCTTTTCACAGCCAGTAGCCAGAGACTGGAATCACAGAGTGCGAGCCCGGCAAGATCAATACACAGTGAAATGTCGCAAGCTGCACTAATGCGAGGTACAGTTTCTCCTGAAAACCACTTATATTGTTTTTCGCTTTTTGTATTCTAATGTTACCAATTCCCAACTTAATCAGACATCTCCAAACAGGTGCTAGTGGTTCGTCCCAGTCGTCTAGCACTTCGATAAACACGCTGGCTCCCAGTCCACAAGATAAAGGTAGCTATAGGGTGTTTTCACTGACGTAATTTCGTCCACCATTTTGTTGTTGTGAGCTGTCTGGCGTGTGCCAAACTCGAGCATTCCAAGGATTGACACGCCCCCTCAAATGCGTAGAGCACCGCTGACATCATCTCAACCGGTTACGATGTAATCCTTCAATGTAGTAAATTTGTGTGAAAAAACAAGCTAACAACAAAATGCCAAATTGACGTTATGTGCGAACAACCTATAATGTATGGCCATTTTACAAATGAGGGGCTATGCACATATTGCTGCAAGTTGAGGTGCAAAGCTTGCAGAACCAATTAACTTTAATTTCATTTCCGTGTGAGCGCTGAAGTTTTATATTTAATCAAATTTGGGCAAGCAAATATATGGAGCACCATGCCACCAAAAACAAGGTGGCTTTCTTCACATCTAGGAACCTAAATATGAGAAAAATCCATGTCACCATGTACCCTTCTTGCATGTAGCCCCTTCAATTGTCTTTATCTTCGCAGGTGCCTGTGGTTCGTTCCAGACACCTAAAACGTCAACAAGGACACCGGCTCCCAGTTCACGAAATAAAGGTACATTGCATGATCGTTTTACAAATAAAGAGCTACGCACACTAGCAGTGCAAATTCAAATGCAAAGCTTGCAAAAACAATCGCCATCTCTTTCATATCTTCCTGGGTGAAGTTTTATATTTAATCAAATTTGAGCAAGCAAATGTATGGCGCACCATACCGCCAAAAACGAAGTGACTTTTTCACATCTGGAAACTTTTCGGTAGGCTTTTAGCATATTAAATAAAGTGAACTCTCCAGAGGTGGATATTTTTTTGCCTGGAAGTTTTAGCGTGCGAGCCCTGCTCAAGGTATACATTGATTGTATGTTTTCCTTTCTGTTTTTTAAACAACAGATATGGGGGCAACAGGTTTCTGCGCTGTATGTTTTCCACTGTCGGAGGTCACATTCTGTTGATATTACATATGTAAATTTTTTTCCTACTTTTTAGGCATGTTTTTTAATTTTGTATTCTGTGTCATTTGAGCTCTTGCATGTATGCATGTTGCACCCTCCTGTAGGCCCACGGGCTCTTCAAGGGCAGTTCAGAAGTACCAAATAAATAAATAACATAAATAAATATGAGAAGCAATCCAAGTCACCTTGTACCCTTACTGCATCTAGCGCCTGCAGTTGTCTTTATCTTCGTAGATGCCAGTGGTTTTTCAACCGCATCTCAAACATTGACAAGGATGTCGGCTCTCAGTCGATTAGATCAAGGTACTTTACTGCAGAATTGTGTTGCAGCTGCGTATTAAGATATTTTGTGTGTCCTTCATTAAATTTTTTCAGCACTGCAGGCTATGCAACACATGACGCCTAGCACCAGTGCTTCGACCTGCGGTAAGCTAATTTGATTTCAATTGTTTTTCTTTCACAGCATGGTTGCACAACTTTGAATAGTTTTGAAATGGCTAAGCTCTTGACTTTTTGCCATCTTTTTTTTTTCTTTTTAGCTGATCTGCGGGCCACTGCTAGGATCTTGAGTGCTGCTGGTAAGTAGGATGTTGTCTCCTGCCTGCACTAATTTTATTTGCCAATATTTATTTCAAGCCTTTTCTTTGCATGCAGAGTTTCAGCGACGGGTGCTGAATGGGATGAGCGTCATGAGGAGCCAGCAGACGGAGATAATGGACATGATTTCGACATTGCTACGAGCGCGTGAGAGTTTCGTTGTAGAGCCCAGCCAGCCGATCCTCGTTGATCCCCTCGACACTCCTGAAGCAATTGAGGTGTTTGATGGCGCTCTTACAGATGCCACGAGTGAGGCTTTCGTAAGCAATTGCTGTTATCAATGCCTGCCCATACTCTAGTTTTTGTCACTTACTGAGGCAAGTATTGGTGTTTGCATTCTCTAGGCTTTGCTGTTATGTCTTATCCCTAGTGTGCAGCTAAGGTTAAGACATGCAGATAACAAATAAGCTAGGAGCAAGCTGTGATTTTAAATCGAGATGCATCGAAGGGGTGAGACTGCCTGTTCTCTGGTAAGCAACAAAGGTGTTTGTAATGGTGCTATACTTTAGCATTATTTCATGAGTGTAGAGCAAGCTCTGACTACTTCCGTATTTCTTCAAATGGCAACTCTGTCCCACAGTTCCAGATCTTAGAGCATGGGAAATGACTAATGAGATAGAACAATGACTAGGAGGTGTAAACAACTGCCCAAATAAAATAAAATTTGGGCCCTCACATTCATTCAATCTTTCTCAAGGTATCACCAGTTCACTCATACTGGCCTCGGAGATAAAGAGGGGGTGTGAATTGGCTAATTGTAAAGCCTAGCCCAGTTAATACAAGCTGTAAACCCATTCATGCTCAGGTTCTTTCTATCCAGCTAACCTTGAATGCCAAACATTTTTGGCTATACTTGCTTTCTGGGTATCGTAATGCTCCTTATGTCATGTCTTACGTTCCCCAGGCACCAGCCCCACGTTTTATGTGCTCAAACACGGCATTGGCATTTTGCATGGACAGTGAATTGAGGATTGCATTTTCTTATAACCAAGGTTATTGCCCCAAGATGAACCCTTTCCATGATATAAGTAGCTTTGGGGATAGCGTTTCACTGGTCAGAGTAAAACAGCGAAAACTGGCTATGTCTTGTTCGTATTAACTGTGTCGTGCTCTGTACGTTCCTTCCAGGTTGTGGAGCTGACCTCCCTTGGGGACCTGTCTATCAAAACAACTGTAAGGTCTATGCTTGCACACCTGATTAGTGACGAAGCTGCAGCCAAGTTCAGCATGGATGGGCGCAAAGGGAAGAAGGTTTTCCGTAGCCTTAAGCTGTACAAATTGATCTTTGGTAAGTAGAAGTTTGCAACGCAATTCCCTGCCTTTTTAAGTTGTACTATAAGGGTCATCTATTGCTTTCAGCTGCTATAAAGCGGACAAAGCACTGCAAAGAGTCTACGAAAAAAGAGGTGGAAACGGAAGTCAAGGAGTGGCTTCGCCGCGCAAAGGAGAGGTGCACCACTTCTAAGGGAGAGTAGGCATCTACCTTCAAGTGTGAGAAAGGTGCCTCTGCCCTGGTTCTGATTGCAAATAAAAAACTATTTTGCTGTCTAACATCCTTGATTCCTTCTAGCTTACGAAACATAAGGCCAACTGGCACTGCGACATCACTACGTAAAATGTAATCAAATGATTGCAAAATTACTTTAAAAAGTAGTACACATGCATCACAATTCATTTGATTACTTGTAGTCGAGAACATACAATACTGTTTTTCTTTTTACCGCACACAGTATCAGCTTGAAAGGAGCTTACAATTCTAAGGTTCTAGGCCTCTATTAATGGACCTTCGGACAACACTTGAAAAAAAAAAAACGAATTACCGATGTGTCCACCTCTTTTTTTCCCCGTCATACCTATTGAATGATCTTGGAGACCCCAGAAAGCATCTATTGCGCCCCTCAAACCCTTAGCAAATCCTAGAGGGCCCATCAGACTTTGCAGAAAATTGTGATGGGCCCCTATGGAACTTCAGGAAATACTGTGATGGGACCTCTTAAGACCTCAGGAAATCTTGAAGGGGCCATCAAATCTGTCAAAGAATCTTGGGGGGGGGGGGGGGGGCCCCAAACCTATCTTCATTAGGGAAAGGTATATCCTCTGCACAAAAAGGTTCTGTTATGATAATCGTTTAGTGCAGAATGGGACCACTTTTAAGTAACTGTTTTTGAATGGTTTCCCAATACCTATTGGGATATGTTCGAACATCCGCAAATGGACAGCCCTCGGACATCCATTTCTGTATATCCACAGGACGTCCACTATTAGTCCGAATTTGGACGTACGGAAACGGATGTCCAGTGTACGTCCGACGGACGTCCTTCCCTGGCAATGGATATTCGGCTCTTGTTCGGACGTCCGACAGACATACGTGGTTGCTTGGGAGGTTACACAGAGAACGTCGCAGTGATTAGAGCATCACCTGACTGTCCATACCTCGCTCATTTGTACACAGATAAACGATTACTACATATATCACCCCCGTTTCTTTTTTTGTGCCAACCACACGTGCTTCTAGGACGTTTATGCAGCACACATATATATATATATATATATATATATATATATATATATATATATATATTATTATATATATATATATATATATATATATATATATATATATATATATATATATATATATATATATATATATATAGTAAACATATGCATCGACCAAATTTTTTTTTCTGTTTGGGGAGGGCAATAATATTAGGTAGGTGGTTTCACGTGACGTACCTCTGGTTTGAAATCGCACCATAATTCCTGTTGCAGTGGTGTCCGTTAGACGTATGCTATTCTATGAGCAGAGGCCGCGGAGGCCGAGTTTTCCTTCTCACTCGAGTTGCTTCTGCTTTTGTTTATCGACCGTGCTTGCCGGAGTAGGCTGAGATTTAAGGAATCCTCGGCCGGCATTGTTTGCTGGGTATTTATATGGGCGGGAACAAAGTGTACTAAATGGTTAAAAATCTTCACCTGTGCTTGTAATCTCGGGGGTGCCTCAGGGAAGTGTACTGGGACCCTTGTTATTTCTTATATTTATTAACGACATTTGCGAGGGAATACAGTCAAATATCAAGTTAGTTGCGGATTATTGTGTATTATACTGAGTTATAGAAAATGACGCAGACGTCTGTATGATGCAAAAAAGATTTAGGAATGTTAGAACGCTGGTGCAATCATTGAGAAATGGGCTTGAATATAAAAAAAAAGTGAAAATACATGTGTTTTACTCAATCTATTGTTAGCACGGCTACGTATAAGCAGTCTTGTACACGTTACTCAAAAAAAGTAATCGATTACAATTACTATTACTCTTGGCTAAAAAGTATTCGATTAGATTACTTGATTACTCGACGGCAAAAGTAATTGGACATTACTTAAAGAAGTAATCGTTACTTTTCCGATTACTTTATTGTGTTTAGCTTTAGCGCTCATAACAATGAACTACTTCCAACCTATATTTCACATTTGCACAAGTATTGAAGAAAAACTGGCTCCCTCTTCGTGGTCGTTGCACCTTCACGATGAGGACACAAGCATAGAATTCGTTTGAAGACGTTTAATGATTTGGGCGTTCGCCAGTGTGTGTGTGTGTGGGGGGGGGGGGAGGGGGGGGGGGCGGAGGGGGTTCTAGATCTTGTTAAGCTTGAGCAAGGGTTGTCGCTCAAAGTTTGCGTCGCTCATTTTATTATTCACATGTGGATGAGTTCGCATGTTATACAAAAGAGCAGCAGCTCCAGGATTTGAAACGGATAATGTGTAGTATCCATTAGTGGAAGAGATCGCCCCGACCACTTCTCAACTCGAAACATTGATTGTCACAAAGACCACGTAGGGGAAATGGGGAAATATTTCAACTGCCTTTGACGCCAACTGCCTCTAACTTCGCCCTGAATGACCTTTGTCACGCACTGTGGCTTCCCTGCGGCTTCCAACTCGTAATCCCAGCTCGAAAAAAAAAAAAAAAGAAAAACGGACATTCCGCAGAAACTGTACATAGAAAGAGATTGACCTCGTTTCATACAGCTCCGCAAAAATCTTTCCTTTTTCCGTTCGAAAAAAAAAAAAAGAAGCAAATTTTATTTTTGTCATTTCATAAAAAAAAGGCGTGTGCCGGGGGGGGGGGGGGGGGGGGGGTTCCGTGGACAAATTGTAACGGTTACAAGTAATTTTATTACTTCAAAAAGTAATCAGATTACTCTTGTGATTACTGCCTAAAAAAAGTAATCAACTGATTACAAAATTACTCCAAAAAGTAATCGATTACAAGTAATTTGATTACTTGTAATGCGTACGGTACAAGTCTGCGTATAAGATAAAAAAAAAAAATATGAACTTGAGCAGGTAGATAAACACAGGTATTTGGGAGTTAATTTTTCGAGTAATCTAAAATGGAATGACCACATCAGTGATGTGATTGGCCTAAGCCATTTCGGAGCACCTTTTGGAGCAGCCAAAACACTGTTTTGGAGCAGCAAATGTGGCTTTTGGAGCAGCCAAAACAGTGTTTTGGAGAAGAAAAAAGTGACTTTTGGAGCCTATATCTTAGAAAAATAAATATTTGTTTTAAGTGCTGGACAAACGAAGGACACTTTGTATTGTGTTGCGATGTGACGTGCTGTGGTGGAACTCGCTGCTTGTGTTTTTGCTGCTGACACATCCCACAAATATACAGTGCTCTAGGCATTGCCGAGCAATTCCGAAAAAAACGAAAACACTTGTTATCGGTTTACTGGTTCCCGACGTGGCAGATTTTTATAAAAAGTAAGCAAACGTAAAACAATAAATTACAAGCGTCCCGGCTTGTGCCTCTCGTGCAATCATGTTCACATGCACGTGAGGGCAACTTCGGCAGGCTCGCAGTTACACCTGCTTCGTCGCGCGAGCGGAGACAACGGCTGTTCGACCGAAACCGAAACCATGCCACCCCGCTCCGTCGCCAACTGGTTTCCAAAATAGTATGAAAAATGTAACTGTCCGGCATACGACAATAAACAGACCAGCGGAGCGTGCTTGCCAGGCTGGCAGGCGAGGTGCAGGCTAAACACACAGAAAAAAAGAACCTCAGTGATTTAGGGAAAAACCCGAGACTGACTAAAACAGACGACGACAAGAGACGTTCTCCTTCTCTTCCTTGTCGTCTGTTTTACCTGTCTCGGGTTTTTCACTAAAATGTTTAATATACACCAGCTCACTTGCGCCCTTACGTTCTGCTCATTAAAACCTGCGTGTATCGATGCAAGACATTGCGAACCAGGGTCAAAAAGTTCTTGGAGCGCTTTGTGACACGACTGAACTCAAGACAAACAAGCGCGGTGTGCGGGTTCAGCGTGCAGACATTGCCTTCTTTGCTTTAGCTCACGCCTCGTCATCAACTTTCTTTCGCGGCAGATTTTTCACGCCCCGCAGGGGGCACCTGTGAAAGCAGGTGTTTGGTGAGTGGCGTCACCACGGACCCCGAGCCATGCGGGTTCGCCCGCCCACGTCTGGCTGTGCGAGGCTTTCCCGTGTCCGGGGAAAAGGGCATCCTGGTGGTTGAGTCGAATCCGGGGTAGGCTTGGACCCTTCGGGACCCCCCGGGTGAGGCAATACACCACTTCGGCCCCCGCTTCCCGTAGACTGGTGTCCTGGCTTGGCCCGACCAGGATGATGCAGTCGGTCGCCACTTCTTCTACTATCCCCTCCTTCCTTTCAGCCTTGACTTCTCCTTCTTTTTACTCTTCTCATTTCTCTTCCTTCCTTTTCACCTCCTTTGACGGCAAGGGCTAACCTTGGGTGGCAATAGATTCTCTTGTCTTGAACCACACTTGGTTATAGCGTCTTGGTAGTACTGGCAGAGCAACATACTCAGACACGCCCTCACTGTTATGAGGTGCTGCCTGTCCCCTTGTTGGGCTTCGTGGTGGGCGGTACGCCACGAATGCTGAATTTTCTCTTCCTTTTATGGCGACCTCTACCGAAACCATTTCAGGACAAGCGTCCAAGCGGCCTTATCATGAACTAACCAAAGTAAAAGATGCTGAACCTGCAACCTTCATAAGATTCTTTGTTATTCATTCCGAAGATGAACAGCGCCCCGTGGGAAAAATGCTTCCTTTCGTTGTGGCAGAAGTTCTTGAGAACTTGATTGGTTATAATTACAAAGCAAAGAATTAAGATGCATTCCAGAGATCTCCTCGTCGAAGTGAACACTAAGGATCAAAGCATGGCGCTCCAGAAACTGTCCCGCATCGTAGATGTCCGAGTAAAAGCTGCCCCACACCGCACACTGAATACCATTCGAGGGGTGCTCTCCGAGGACGACCTCCTACATTCTAGTGAAGAGGAAATTCTCGAAGGCGTCCGACCATCGGGTGTCCTTGCTGTAAAGGGGATCATTTTCAAACGAGATGGTGT